GTTTGTCGGCCGCCCGCCTTATGGTGATATTTCGATAACCTGAATTATATCTTCCTCTCATTTCAGGACTTCAGCGGCCAAATGAACACTCCTCACGAAGAAGAAAATGCGCCTCCCAGAAGGAAATATGTACACTTAAAAACAACTAATATATCTTAACATTCAATGACGTCCAGTTTCAGCCTTTTTTCCGTTACAGATAGATGGGTGCGCTTGTTAGTTAGGATTCGTGTACCCCTAGCGGCATGTTAGTCGTGTGCGTCGGTTAGGTTCATTCAGCTGTCTGGTATGATCGACGTCGCTTCACTGCGGCTAGTTAGCTAGGCATCGTGTACCCCCAGCCGCATGTTAGTCATGTGCGTCGGTTAAGTTCGTTCAGCCGTCTGTTATGATTGAGGTATGTTCCATGTTCCTAAGCCTCGAGATCTTTCTAGCATAATTCGCAGCCTATAATGGAAACTTCTGGTTTTTGTCAGCCAGCATGCACGACGTTTAGCAAATAATTAACGTGCACTACGTAATTTTTACTCGCGACAAAGAATCATCGACCAAATTTGTTTGCGCACGGATGCGCCTACGCATATGTTGCATCTCCAAAGACCATTTAGATTCTAGAATGTTGAGGAAATTTTTCCGGTGGAAAAATGCTGAAAGTTACGTTCATCGTATGTGAGTCAACGTTTTCCACGGTTCGCGATTTTTCATCATCAGGTAACGTATTCACAGTTGGTGGTGTTTATTGACCTTGAGAATTCACTCACTCAAACAAATCGCCATAGTAAATGATTTTCAATAAAACAGGACCATATACATTATACATAAACATTCTACACTATGAAGTGGCACGTCTGGAAATGCCGTAGATTTCGAGAACTCAGTCTCATTGTGCGAATAACCTTTTGGACGCAGTCGTTCAGTATTCGCACAATCAACTTGTTCTCTCGAAAGCTTCATTTCCAGGATTGCCACCTCGTAGCGTAGAATGATTGTGTACAACGAACTAACGTGCGAATTATCTACATTGGTGGTTTGCTTGAGTGAGGGAATTTTCAAGGTCGATAAAGACCACCAACTGTGATTATCCTGCCTAAGAAATCGTGAATGGCCGATGTGACTCACTAAACTGGCGGAAATTTCAGGCAGTTTTGCAGCTGAAGTAATTCGCCGAACATTCTGGAATTCACGTGGCCCTTTGGGATGCATAATGTGCGGAGGTCCCATTCCTGAAAACATTTTTTCTCCACGATTGCAATTATGACTTAAAATCGCGGAAGCCGCGTTCATTACTGCCAGAAAAATCGTTCAAGTTTATTGTAAACTGCTCTATTACGGCTTAGAAAATATGCCAGGAAAACCATGCCGTTGGTCAGCTTGCCACATGGTGACTCCTTCGATCATAGCGGACAGCTGAACCAACCTAGCTCTCCACGAACGCAAACAACCTCTCGGTACCCATGTCGTCCATTATAAGGAAGGTATACATCCTGTATCCACAAGCTGAATATTTGCCGCTTTAAAAACCTTACCCAAAATGCCTTGCCTTTTGCGCTTTGTCTACATTCACTACACCTGGAAAGCGTCGGAAAAGCGCTATCTGCTGCAATCGGGAGAAACACATATGGCTATAGTGACCTTCCTCTGACTACCGCACCAGCACGCGTCCAGTATCTCAAAGTTTTGCAGGGACCGAAGGCATGTTATCCGGCACAACAAGATCCAACTAAGCGACATCTACTCAAAAAACTGGTCGACACTTCCGGCGGTAGTTTTATATGTCCCAAGCGGTAAGGAAATTGTCGAATTCATCGAACAAAAACTGCCACGATTCACACAATGGCGTTCCATACTTCAGCAAAGCCCTGCAGGTACCTAAATTGTCTTCGGCTAGCCATCGATTCACTTGAAACCTCTCGTTCGAAAACAGTGAAACTCTATGGCTGTGTTCAGGGTAATAAGGGATGAGCGTGAGGTGGGTCCTTTGCCTCATATTTCAACGGTTTCCACTGGCTTCGTGTCATTTCTCCATGTAAATGGTGTAACATTTTGTGAAAAACTTGGTTTTCTCATGTGTTCCCTTCTGTATTGGATTTGACAATAATCTGAAGACTACACGAACAATGATTACGCCCACACTGCCCGTGAAAACTAAATCAGCGATTCTCCTCCTGTATAAGAAAACGTTGTCTATCGTTGTGGCGGGCATCCCCCAAACAAAGCCGACAGGAAGTTTTTGTGATGGCCAGCGCACGCTATTCTGAGTGCACTGCGAATTTTTTCTTCACCGGTATCCTGACCTCTCGATAATGCCCTTCTCAAGAATTAGTGGGCAAATGGGTAGAGCAAGCAGACAGTACAATAAGATGGTCAGTGCTTTGAAGTTCTGGGAGAAATTCAACGGATTAGGACGGTCTTGTGGGCAAACGTAACTCTCGGTCGGGAAAAAGCAGGGATGTGTTGAACTACGGGCAAGCCATCAGACTGCGTATTGCAGTCGTGGCACTATCATCGCGACGTCGTTCTTCAGTTTGTGGACAGCCCTGCGTATGGACATCTTGTGTAAGTCAGTTGAGGTTGCACGGTTGTGAGGATCGGCCAAGGAATAGTAACATATCGATAACAGCCTGCACCCAAGATATTTTTTGTTCATCGAGGGCCACAGTGGTTTGGGTTTGGACATATATAATTACGTGTCCGCATAAATCGGAAATCACTCGTTATGAGGGAAAAACTCACTAACTTCTGTTAATTCGGACTAATCAGGAGGATAAAAGTTTCCGGAATAAAACGATAACTGACAGTGTTCCAACTGATTTATAAGAGAGCGAACTGTGCCATAAATTGCGCATGGTCTATGCCCTCAACTAGACTGGTATGAAGCAGAGTGCACACTTGCTTTCGGCATCGTTCTCAATTACATATGGCATCAAACAAATAAGCTTCCTACAGTCATCACCGGGAAGTTGGTAGACAATTTTTTAATACAGTTCTATATCGTGGGATGCCAAGTAGAGCACAACCATTGCCCGCGATTGTGAATCAAGCAGAAGTATTATGCTGTTGGCTTCGACGCTCCGGTGTGGAGAAATCGAAGACCTAGTTTATCATTTCGTGCAGCCGAACGAACTTAACTCACATACCCAGTACACTTGTGAGATGCCACTCACACATCCCATACAGGATAGCAAGAGTACCGCGCTCATCTACACGACTAACTTGTGGTTCTGATTCAAATTGGGACAAGTTGATACATGAAAATTAAAAAACTTAACACATGGAGGCCAAATCATCTGTTAGAAGGGACAGACGCATTTGCTATCACAACATGGACCATAATGGAGTATTTGTGGTTTGATAGTTCATGCGCGATAACATTGAAGGCCTAAGGACGTTGTACTAGATGCCTTAAAACAAGACGAGGCACACGAAAAAATCATTTGGTGGACCGCATTTCGAACGAAGCCGCCACCTTTCAGGGGCTTCATTCTGGTACAGGGATGCGGTTTATGTGCCTCATATTCTCGCATCAATCTCTAAGCTTTCCGGGGTGGCTTATTGACTTACTTGAGACCGTCAAATCTTGCAGGTACCTCAGAAAGCAAACATGAACATCACCCGGGCGACTGTTGGCCACTCCAGAAGATGAACTTTCTCGGCGATGTGCGAATGGTCTAATCACAAAGGATACGCAACCAGTGGGTCGTCAGATGTGAGATAGTCCTGGGCCTCTGCACCGCATTACATCCAAGTTGCGACAGAACTCGTTCGTAATGCCGCTTCCTAGACGCGGGCTCGAAATTACTTTTTAGTGGTATTTTGAAAAACGGAAACTATAACACAAGGTTCTAGCACTTGACGGTAACTATTCGGTCGCAGTTTCATTAGAATTTGTTGAAAGGATTTCGGATTCAAGTTTAGTTGCGGAGAACGTAGTTTAATGGCTGCCGGTAAAATTCCCCATCGTTCCTATGAAAACGGTGTGAAATTCTGTGGAAAAGCTGGTTTTTCCGCGTTTTCTTGTGCATCAGACTTGAACGTACCCTCAAACCGAGTTAGGCAGTAATCACGCCCAATACGCCTGGGCAAACTCAAATTAGAGCCGACATTCGCAATCTGGATATAAAAATTCTTTCATGGTTGCGGCGGGGAGGAGATGGCTCAAGTGGTTAGGGCGCGAATTTGCCGACCCGAAGGCCCATGGTTCGAGCCCGACCTCGGCCTCTCGACTTCCCCTGTCTAGGCTTGATCAACCTGGCAGTATCCAAGCCCTCGTGTTCCCCTCGCGTGGCATGGCAGCTAGGCACCGGAAGGGTGCTACAGCTGACTGGTTAGTAGTTGGTTAGTTAGTCACGTTTGCGGCAGACGTCACACGGAAGCCAAGGAATTCGTCACAGCTCGTAAGTTTTTTGTTTTTATGATGTTTAAGGTTTGATCACCAATATACCGAGCCAACAATCGTGCCGTTGTTCTAACTATTGGATTTGTGAGCAGAACAAGCAGGCGGCACAGTGAGGTGGCCAATGCGTTTAAGTCCCTGCACAAATAAAACGGGCCGAAATGGTCTTCTGGGTAACATACTCGCCTGGGCGATATTAGAGAAACAGTGAACTACGGGCAAACTATCAGACTGGGTATGGTAGTCACGGTACCGTCATCGCGACCCCCCACTTTGGTTCGTGGACAGCCCCGTACATGAACATCTTGGATGAGCCGTTTATGGTCGTCCTTGTAGTCAGGATATTCTTGGGTCCGTCGAGGGTTTTCGGTTGTTCACCGCTGCCATTCAACGAAGTAATTTGCTAGAAAGCTCCCTGATGTGATTTAGAATGCCTTCCGGAATAACAGACAATCAAAAGTTATCGCGATTCCTAACTACTTCCATGAGGCCACACTGCCCGATTTCAAAAACGTTATTCGTTATTTACGTGCATATGGGTATGTGGTCGACGCGAACTGTTGAGGACACATATCAGTGTGAGGGAAGTGTGTTGGCTGGATTGTGCGCAACTACTTCGGCTTGGAACTTGCAGAGACATGAGATCAGAGATATCCGTTAGTGCTGCCCGCTCATTTGATGAGCTGACCTTAAAATGGAGCTGTTACAGCCTAAACAGGCGTGGAGCTTTGCAGAACCAGTTGCCTCTGAGGCATCACATCACGTGTATTTAGTGATTCTCGTACCATCTTTTCCTCTTTTATCAGTGGGTATTTCAGTTTATAGGACGATTGCTCGGAATGTATGCCACAACCAAGGCAAGCTCAAACGCGAACCAGGCGTCCGACGAAAGTGGCTTCTATTTTAGTTTTCCCTTCCTTCACTGCAGAAAGCAAATTATAAGCTTCAGCATGCGAACCGAGTGCATTTTGGGGAGATGGCATGCAGTCGATGTGAGAGTTGTCAACCGCGCAGTGTTTTGCATCGTCGTGGACAGGAGGTGCCAAGGGAGCGGACATGTCACGGAATTATATGGGGAGCTCCAAAAGCTTCGGTACACAAAGTTATGTCTGTCAGGAGTGCTCACTCTCCATTCTCACCTAATTTCGTGATCAACGAGATAATGAGACGAACGCCGAAATCTCTGTTTTGGGAAAAATCTTGTTGATCTAGAGTATGCAGATATTGTTCTCATCTTTGAAAAGGAGGAAAAGGCGCAGGTGTTTTTGAAGGAACCGATCAAAGTCATTCTGTCCATTAGTGTGCACTTTGTACCCACAAAGTGTCATGTTATCAAAATGATTTTTATTCTAAACAGGTGGGTGGCGTACCGTCAGGCATAATCATAAGGTTGGACAGAATAAAATGTGAGTTTGTTTGCAATTGACAAGTTAATGATGGGGTAAGAGAAGGATCAATAGAAGGAAGGGGATAGTTGCGGGTGTGTCAGCAAACTAAGTAGAGCAGTGCTATGACATCAATGCACTGAAATACTTCGGTTTCCGGACAGCCCGTTAGCGGACGTCATTTTTGAGATGACTTTGCTTGGATGTGCAATTCTGTGGGGAGGGGTGTATTTTTGGTCGGCGGAGGAAATACTCAGAGGTAGAAAAAAGCCTATGTAAGATTGCTGGTATTTTTCTGATCCGGTCGGAGGGGTAGTGTGGTTCAACTTTTTATATATATTCGAAGTCGTATCAGTTTTCATTGTAGTATGCCAGTATGACAGTATGATCGATGCACGAACCTTCAATGTTCAAGTCGCGTTTGCTAATTCGAAGGACCTATAGCTTCAAGGCGGTATGCCCGTGAATATCAAGCAACGTGTGTATCGGGCTGTACTACGGGCTGTTCTGTTGTGTGGCTGTGAGAGTTGGCCTGTTTGAGAAGCGGAAACAAGGCGTTTTCGGGTGCATGACAACGGTTGCCTGGAAACCATAGCTCGTGGGGGTAGGCAAATCCGTAAGGCTACGGTCGCAAAGCGATTTTTCGGTCGTGCACAGGGATTTCCACTGGAGAATGTGTCCTTGCAGTCTCCAGCAAGATGATTATCATTATCTGGGCGGTTGGATCGCATAAGATTTGGCTATATTGCTAGCTCATTTATTTGGATATAGTCAACATGATTTCGTAAGTGAAGATGGGTTGCATTACTTCGACATGAACGATGGGTTGGCTGAAATCCAGAAGGGTGTCTCTTGTCAGTCAGATTGCTACTGTGGTCGAGTTTGTGACGGTTACGAGTTTCGATGAGGGGAACCGAGCTGCCGAATTTATTAAGCTACACTGCATTGGTAGCAGAGAGCAGAAATCGAGTGAAGTTGGGATTAAGTGCTCTAAACGAGCGGATTTGACACCAGGCACCCGGCCATTCACTAGATCTTCGCTACGGCTGCATCCATTGATGCACGATTGAGGACGCGGGAGGCCCTCGGATCTTGGGGCTCAAGTCTGCTTCACTCTGTCTTACGACTGAAAAGTACACACCCACCCAATAATGTATATGGTTGCCGAATCCCGCCATCGAATCATCGATGTACACACGACTACCCCGTTATCGCCTATTGGAACTAGTTCAGAGACTAGTGCGTTTAACTTCAAAACAGTAAGTCTCCAGATTCAGCGTGGACACTGAACGGGAATTGTGGACAAAGGGATTCGTTGAGCAATCGGTGAGTTAGCCACTGCAACTATGTTTAATTATTTCTTTTAAATAATATCGCAGTAAATGTGCACGGGTCGTTTATGATTATAAATCTTTTCAGAAACCCTGTCGAGTAAAAAACTGAGAAGTGGATTTGCCACACGTTATGTTTGTACCGATGCAACCAATAAAGAGAAATACGATTTGTTAAAAGTGTTAAAGGCATGGGATACTGACAGATGCACAACGTATGGATGTGAAGGACCGCCGCCGGTCGGTGGATTGGTCTAGTATGTATAGTTGGGACATTATAGTAAGCTACGAGCATGTGCACAGGCCCGGTATTTACAATAAGTAGGTGACATCGAGTATAGGTATGAGAATAACGGGCCGTTGTTTGCCATTGGACCGGGTTATTGGATATAGCTGAGGCCTCATGCTTAGCGCTGCACATAGACACAAGCCTTGCAACAATGACAAGTAGCCAAGGTAGGCGATATCGAGTACAGTTACGAGTATGACTGACCGTCACTGGCCGTGAGATTGGGGTACCACCTATAGTTAGGGCCTCGTTTTTATCACCCGCGTAGACACTGGCCTGGTGTTTACCATGATTGGCAGACATGAGCGAGAGCAGACACAGTTATGGTTATGTCGGTTCATCGTTGACAGTGGCGTTAGGACAGTGCACATAGTTGAGACATAATAATCGACGCCGCACGTAGGCAGTGGCCTAGCAGTTTCAAAAAGTAGCCAAGGTAGGTGATATCACGTACAGTTTTGAATAAGAGGCCTGTCGTTCGCGCATAGTTCGGGCATCGTTTTCATCAACTCACATAAATGCTGGCCCGGTGCTTTGCATAAGCAGCAAAGATAAGCGACAACGAGTAATGTAACGAGTACGACGAATTAGGTTGGATTAATTCATCGGTTAATCAAAATCGTACATGGACACGGACCTAGCAGGTACTTCAAGGAGCCAAATAAGGCGGCAATTAGTACAGCAACGGGTGTGAAAGGCCGTCAGGTTGGGTCTCACTCATAGCTGAGGCCTTATTTTTACCGGCCCACATGGATACTGGCCCGGTATTTACCATAGATAAGTGGCTTCACGTATAGTTATGGGTATGAAAGACCGTCGTTGGCCATTGGAGGGTTACTGTGTATGGGTGAGGTCTCACAATCAGGAGATGCGGTCCTGGCAGTCATAGTAAGTATTCGAGATGGGTGACAACGCGTAGAGTTTTGAGCATGAATGACGGCCGTTGGTTATTATATTGAGCTGACCTGCATAGGTGAGGCCCCACAATCAGCGTCACGCATTGACACGGATCCAGCAAATAAGTAGTCGAGATGAGTGGCAACGGCTACCGTTATCATGACGACCGCCATGGCGGTCAACACCTATAGAGCAGCATACTAATAATAGAGATGATACCTGCAGCTATCTGGTGACGCTGTATTAGCTACAAGCTAGTTATGCATATCTGGGAAAGGTGATCATCTACAACGAGATGGCTCTCGCATCTCCCTGCACAGTTCATGCTGTTGTCTTACAATGTTGTGCTTAATGAAAGTTTAGACACATATGTATATGTGTTGTGACCAGGTTCGCCGAACAGAATAATCTCATTTGTTAAATTTGAGGCGTGTAAAGCGAACGAACCCCAATGACTGATCTCCCAGGGTGGAATTTGCATTAAATATTCTTTAGATGGTTTTATTCGTAATGAAAACCGAAGAACGCCAAAATATGCTAAAGTGCGACTTTGCGTTTTATTTCGCGTAAACCGGTGAGAAAATGCGAATCGGTGGTCATTTCGCTCACCTAAACAAAATGCTGCGGGTAATATGTCGCCGAAGGGTGCAAATGGATTGGACTAAATCCCGGTTAAAGTGACGGCTCTGAAAACCCTATAATTTCGGCGAAAATAATTGGGTGTGTTTCTAGTCAGCGGCTTCTATGGTTTTGGAAGTGCTTTCATTAACCTTTGTTGGGAAATTTGGGGTTGTCTCTTCCCCATCCTTTACGGCAGTTGAAAAGGCCTTAAATCATGAAGGCCTTACATGGATGAAGGATAATTATGCAGTATTTGTGCGTTCACCCAGTAATCGGAGCAGCGACGCTGATTTGCGGTACGAATGGGGTACGACAAACGCAACATGCGACCTCTAAGACCGATGAAGTCGGGAAATCCGAAGAAGTTAGTAGGCTGAATGAATTCGCTAGTAAAAAACGGTAGGCCAAGTACCGGCTGTCCAGTTCGGTTTTGCCTACGCAGGCTAAGGAACTAACCAGCGGTCACCGCTTATTTTCCTTAAAACAAACATAGGTTGTCAAAGTTTTTGCACGATCGGCGTCCGCTTAATCAATGGCCAACCGTAAACTAGTTGGGCATTTGCAAGGCCCTTCTGGAATACGGAACGCCGTCATGTGAAGTACGGTAGTTTTCGGTCGATGAATTAGGTAAGATCCTTACCGCTACTGTCGGAAGTGTCGACCGACTTTGTTGACGCGGTGCCGCATAGTTAGGCTTTATTGTGACAGGTGATATGCCTTCGGTCCAAATACGGTAAGAATGAATGAATCAATAAATATAGCAACATTCGGGTTCATCACACACCCCACAGTTTGAATGGCCTTGTGGATTTTCATAGTCCAGTGATAGTTTTCATCGTGAGACTTTGGAAGTCCTCGGGTTAGAAGCTTCCGGTTCATCAGTCCTAACCGAATTGGTTTTTAAAAAGACATTTGTCAACTCTTGCACAAGACTAACCCATTCTACGCGTTGGGCTACTGAGTTTCCACTCAAGGCTCCTGAAAGAGACATCGTTTGCACTGGCCAAATATTTGTAATTGATGCTTCATCAGTCGGTTGACAAAGGCCACCTTTCCTCTGCTCTGAAAAAGTGACTGTCACGCCAATCTAAAAAACTGGTGACCGACTATCGCCCGGCAGCCTTAGGTCTTTAGCCGCACTAGCGTGCCGTGTAAGGCGATGGAACGCGAGCCATCCTAGATCAAGCTACTACCAACAACTTAACATCCCCAGTTCAGTACGGATTTCCCCCAAACCGCTCATGCGTGTCAAGCGCGATCGAACTTATAAGCAGCTTCGCCAGTGAAGATTGAGTTCACAAAATCGCTTTGGTAAAAACAATGGACATATTGTGGATAGATTTATCAGCAGCATGCACTATGACATCTTGTTGCGCATCAACACTCTCCAAATCTTCTGTTATAGTAGTCACAACTTACTAAAATACGCCTGGTGAACTATTTAGACCAAAGGGAGAAAAACTCTGTCAGAATAACCTAAAAGGGGCGTTTAGCGCAGTAAGATTATCGAGGGTCTCTTCTGGTGATGTTTGAAGATTAGTTTTTGCAGATTAGTTTTTGAAAATATACTTGAATTTGCTAAACAGTACATTTCAGCGCTCTTCCGTAGTGCATGTGCGTCGTAGTTACCGCGTCTCGAGCGTTTTCCGCTAGTCTCCCCAAAGTTCTAAAGTACTNNNNAACAATACAGTACATTTCAGAGCTCTTCCGTAGTGCATGTGCGACGTAGTTACCGCGTCTCGAGCGTTTTCCGCTAGTCTCCCCAAAGTTCTAAAGTACTACAATAAGCTTTTAGTGAGGTAACTATCGAAGTGTTCCACTTGGATGATTCAACAGGAATCTGTATTTCTTTCTCACACACTGAATTTGGTTCTTGGTGAGCAGGTTCACTAAAGCCAAAAGGAATAATTTGCCTCTTGATAAATTAGGGATCTTCCGTAGCTTCAAATTTCACCTTGGGCATTCGCATGCCACCTGCTGCCTTATAGCACTTAGGAATCAAATGTTTGAGCTGACTCTCATTTACAGAAGTCAAAGAAGAGATAGAAGTTTGCGGTAAGCGCAGAGCTTCGAGTCGAATGATCGATAGTCACGCAGCTGACACTAAAAAATTACGGTCGACGGGATTTCTTTGGGGCAATCTCACAGGAGTTGTACAACTTCCAACACAACTACCGCATAGTTGGGTTGTATTGTGGCAGATGATATGCCTTCGGTCCTTCCAAAACCGCGGGAGACCGAACACGCGTTTGTGCGACAGACAGACGAAAGTCACCATAACCAAGCACGCTTCTCCGGACGGCAGCAGGTAGCGCCTATCCGACGCTTTCCAGATGTAGTCAATATGGACGGAACGCATGCAGCAAACAGACTTAGGTAAGCTTTTTGAAGCACCTTATATGGGTGGGCGCCCTCCGGTCAGCTGATTGGCCATCATGAACCCTTAGCCACATGTTGGTCATGTGCTTCAGCTAGGTTCGTTCAGCTGTCCGCTATGATCGACGTAGGTTCCATGTGACTACTCGATCAACGTCATGGTCTTCCAAGCATAATTCGAAAGCTATGTGGCACACTCTGCTGCTTACCAACAAACCTGCATGGCTTCTCACCAATAATGAACGTGGACTACGGAATCTTAACTGGTGACAGCAATTATCGAGAAAAGTTACTTACAGGTACGGCACCTCTGCATATTTTGCATCCACAAAGGTCATTTAGCTTCTGGAATGTTCATGGAACTATTTCATCTCGAAAACTATATAAAGTTCAGTCTATTGTGAGTCACCGTTTCCCGCAATTCGCGATTTCTCATTGCATAGGCAAGGTGCTCACAACTGGTGGTATCTATTGACCTTGAAAATTAGCTCACATAAACACATGACTATGGTAGATAAATTGCAGTATTACATGTACATATATATTATTCATAGGCATTCTACACTATGAGGTGGCAAACCTGAAAATGCCATAGCTTTGGGGAAGTCAATTCCATTGTGCGAATACTGAGCGGCGATTCGGCGCGGGTTCTGCATCCACGTGCGGAGGCGTGCTGACTGAGGGGCGATCAAGCGACTTGCGGCGTCATCCCCATTCTGATTGGTTGATACCTGGATGGCGGGAACATTCAAAAGTGGCAACATGGCGGATTTGCGGTTTATGATTGACCCC